TGTACAGTTCGTGCTGACGTAGAGGCCGTGTAAGACTTACGAGGCGGGGTGAGACCGTGTATACTCGTACTTTACCGTGTCTACCATGTATGATTCGTACTTGAATCGTATGACACCGTGTATGCACTCGTGTGAATCGTACCGTGTTCGTGTCACATTCGGGTGTTAATCGGGTGTTGGATGTAGAGTTTGGGGACGGTCTCGAACGATTCCATACGATTTATATACGATCTTTGTACGGTTGGGCTCACTCGTGGAGTCGACTCCAAATACAGTTGTATATCCGGTCTCATACGGTCTCACACGGTCTTGTACGGTCGTTTATACGATCATACACGACATTACACATGTACCAGTTTTTTTTAAATTTTAAAAATCATACACGGCTTTCACGAATACACTCGAATGGCCCGAGTGTAAAGGCCTCAACAGACGGTAGGATTTTGAAGTACAACACCAATTAAAACTAAGATGTACAGACAAATCTTAATGTGTGAAGGCTACTATTTCTTTATTTCGGAAACCTTAAGTCTAGATGTAAGGGATAGGACATGTTCTATTTTGAAAATCTTGTCGTACAGATTTTTTCAGACCTCCCACAATGACAAGTAACAGATAACCAAATTATCTCTTGATAATGGTTGTAATGAATGAAATTCCAGAACAATTAGGGCTAAAAGGTAAACATACTAGTAAGATGGGGTAAAAATGATGTTGAAAAACTTTTCAAGAGACCTAAAGTTGTGTTATGTTTGGATCCCAAATTATTCTGAAAATGATTATGTCACAGTATTGAATTGTTCTCTAATTAGGGGAGTGGAGGTAGTAGTAGGCGGCCAGATGGCTTAGTAAGTAGAGCCGCGGTACGGTATTCCGAGGGTCCCAGGTTCGAGTCTCGGTCAGGCTTCACATTAAAAAAATATATATATATTTATAATTTTAAATGGAGGTGATTGAAAAATCAGTACTCATGGCGAAAAAATTATTTAGTGAGTAAAGTATGTAAAGGATCAATGTAAAGGGATCCTTTTTAGGGGATACTTACAGTGTAGAATTACCGTCTGAATGCAATTGTTGTATAGCTTTAAAAAATGTACATCTTATCTCTAATTAGTGCTGTACAACTAAATCCTACCGTCTGTTGAGGCCTTAACTCGGATAAACTCACGGTTGGTTTGGTTGTATGTAAGATTTACACGAGTGGCCAACCGGATAAACCGTGTGTTTTGTGTGAGACGGGCTTAAGGCAGTCACGGCGCCCCATATAGTTAGTAGTTAGCTCCAGTCCAATGAAATCTACCAGCTGTACTATTACTAGTTAAATATTAATTACAGTTAAGCCAGTGCAAAGTTTCTTAAGTGCATTTCAAAATTAGTAATGACCAAAAGTTGATGTTTTAGAAAGATTAACAAAACTTGCATAGAGTAAAAAGTGAGGTGCTCAGTGAATACAGCAAAAAGGTATTCTTCAGACATTTTGTATGAATTTCAGTTATAAATTTCGTACAAATTATCTAAAAGTTGTAATCGCCTTCTATTGGAGTTGAAAAAGGCAGACAAATACAATTTGTATCAATTTCAACATTTTTGTATGTCCAATTTTTTTAATGTAAAGTAATGTTAGTGAACATTTATAAAAGCAAAACTTTTCATATTTTGTTTAAAGGATTTTTTCGCTTTCCTTTTTTATTAACAAATTATTAACTATACATGTACATTAATATATATGTACACACTGAACACCATTAGAATTAATGAAATTATATCTGTTTTATTTCAACACGTGAAAGGAATAATAATTTAAAATGTCCAATTATTCCTAACTGGCAAGAACTGAAGGGATGGATCTTATTGGTTTGGTAACATTTTACAAGTGCCAGAGTACAGTTCAAATCTTTCACCACTCCAAGAAATGCTTGGTCCTAAACCCCAACTAGCTGGGTTTTCTACATTATGCCAGAAATTGTCCATACAAACGAATCTTTCAGATGGGAAGGAAAGGGAAACAATTTAAAGTCCAAGTCGTTAGGGGACATTTTACATCGGGTAGGGGAAAGTCGCCACGGGGAAATTATTTTATCAGCGGCGCTGGATTTGGCAAGAACAGCATTTTTAAAAAATATATTCGCTTTTAACATGGGTGTCAAAGCTCATAAAAAGACATGAAAAATTTTAACCATTTTTAAAAAATGGGAAAAATTAGAGGCTTTAATTTTTGGCTTCGAGTTTTTTTATTTCTAGTGGGGTATTGGGAAAAATACAGCTAAAAATCTGCGATGTCGACGACATTTAAATTTAACAAAAGGTCATAAAAAAATACTTCAATGTCAAACTTTTAATGCCAAAAAAAGTTTTTGGGAAAAAGGGCATTTTTCGAAATGAACAATGCCCTTTTTTATATTTTGATGGAAATTGTGAATGGGCCAAACCTGATTTAAGATTTTTTCAAAACTTTCCCCAAAACGTTCCCATTTATAAAGCACGTGGAAATGTGTAATTTAAAAACGACCCGGCATGGAAGATAAGTAAATTGACAAAAAATTGGGGCTAGTTAAAAAATAAAAAAAAAAACCCAAGGGGGGTTTAATTTTTAAAAGCAATGAAAATATTGAAAGGGCAGAATTGGGAAATCGATGAACTGATAAATGAAGTGTTTGGCAGTTTTTGAAAAAGAAATCGGGTTATCAAATGACCTTGAAGATATGGAATCAACCCCTTTCCTGTTACTCTATCTTATATGTTTTATGGGTTGAAAAAATTCCAATAGGAAAATTCAGCTGTAGAATTATCTAAGGCATTATTCCAAGTCCTTCTATCCTAAGAACAGAAAAGTTAATTTGGAAAGTTCCTTCAACAATGTAAAAATATCTTCAAGTAATGTTCCGAATTTTCAGGAAGCATCAACATTTCTGTCGTTTTACTTACATGTTTCTGGTGACGATTGGGAAACTAGCTTTTTATACATTGTTCAGTAAGAAAAAGGAGCACCATTAGTTTTTGATAGATATGTTGCTGAAAAATATCTTAACCAAGAAGATTTAAAATCAAGCTGTCAAGCAGGACTATTATCAGAAAGAAAAGTAAGAACATTATTAAATGAAAGTTCTAGAATATCATTTTCACATAAATCAGTGCAAGAGTACTTTTCAGCAATATTTATAAGCTTTCAAAATAAAAGTGAAGTTCAGAAAATCATCTTTGAAAAGTGCAACTGTTTACAAAATATTCTAGACATGTCAAAAGTGTTTGTCTTTATTAGTAGCATGAACCCTGAATTAATGTCTGCGATAACAAATGATTTAATGCCTGTGATAAACAATGATGAAAAAACAAGCAAATACAGAACTATGACATATAATGATTACGTGTACACTGATCCATTACAAGGCATACAAGACATGTACATTTCTTGTACCAAAGAAGGAAAGGGAAAAAATGACCTCAAATTAAATGTTTACAAGATTACATCAATTAATAAAAAAATGTCAAACAAGAAAACTACTTCAACATAATTACAACATCTGTTTGTCAACAAATAAAACAAAAACATAAAATCAATAATAATACAAAATGAAGGTATTTGTGGTCTACAAGAAATTATCAACTTCTTTACACTCTCTGAACTTCCACATATATGGAGAAATTATACTATAAAGGTGAAATTGTTAGAAGAGAAAATAATGAACTTGTTATTGAACCATTTAAAAATGTTTAAACTGTGATATCACATAATGGGAAAATCATCAACTTGGTAGGAAGACGTTGTCGGCTGTCTGCAGAGATAAATGGACGACTGGTAAAATTACAACACCTGGAGCGTTTACGTAATAAGCTTTTTCACTATGACCCACGAGGTAATGGAGACATTGTTTAGTTTTCACACTAGTAAAAAAATTAATGAAAGAAATAATCAATTGGATCAGTTTTACGTAGTGATCATGGTACTTCATGTTGGGGGATTCAACCTTGGGCCTGTCTCAAAATTCACCCAAATAAAAAGTTTAGGATTAAAAAAGATATTTTGTCACAAATTTTAAAAAATGGGTTTTATCGGGTTTTAGAGGAATGGCTGGGGAGGTTTAATTTATATAAACCTTGGGGTTGTGGTCATCTTATTCAGTCAACCCAAAAAGCAACCAGTAAAACCCAAAAATTTCAGTGGTGATCTAGAATCTTCAAATGACATAGAAAATGTTAAAAACATTAAACCAAATTTTTAAATAAAAGAAATATGTTTGGGGTTTTTTTAAAAAATCAATCAGGTGAAAGATTTATTAACACTGAAAACCTCAAAAGATCAAAAAATTTAAGGGGTTGTTTGTATAAATAAAATGTCTTGTTTGTGTTCAAGATCAATTTTTTGTATTAAACCAAAATACCAAAATAAAAGTAAAAGTAAAAGTTGTGGGGGGTTGTGAATAAAAACCAGAAACAGAATTTGAAAACTTTAAAACATTTATAAAACAATCAGACAAGTATGTGGTCAAATGTGATGACACATTTGAGTCTGGAGGGTATAGGTTTCGGTTTGAAACAAAACCAACTACTGTGTAACCTTAAAAGACTTTGGAGAAACAATTTATAAATATATTATGAGATAAGTGACAGGTGAAATAGACATAATTTTTATTAAATCAAGATTCATAAATGAATGTTTTATAATGAGGATATGCATGGAATAAATGAACACCTACCTGAAAAAAATATTTTAATTAGATAGAGAACTAGTGTGACATTTGAATTATTTGTACGACACAATGGAATTAGTCAAATTTAGTGATGCGTTGAAAGTTTAAAGGTCAGTGGTCTTTAATTTTATTTTTTCAGCATTTAAATCATTTTTAGAGTTATGTTTTGAACCTTTTATATTTATATTATTTTATCTTGATGTTAGATTATTAAATTTATTTGCATAAGATTTTAAAGTTACGCGAATTTAGCTTAAGGTCTTCAATGTACCCGATTTTATCCATAGTAAATTAGTTAAGCCAGTCTACGTGCAATGTTTAACAGTACAACACTTAAAAACAAGTGCAGCTACAGTATTTTTTTTCTTCATTTCAGTGCACTTGAATAGATGTGTACATGCAGTATCACAAACTAAGTAAGTTATTTTTACTTGTACCTCTTTGTGCGTTATGTGTATTTCTTTTAATTAGGGTCTGTTAAATGTCTGTTATAAAGTAAATCTAATATAGGTTGGTAAAAAATTCTGGAAACAACAAAATTACAAGAGAATTGCAGACTCGGTTTGATTGAGTCTATACATGAGGAATAATGAATAAGTGCAACATCCCTCACGCCCCTAGCACCGGCTTGTTCCCGCATACAGAGAGTTTAACCTATTAATTATATCGCGCTGTTCGTCGCCAAACATTCTACTCTATTCACCAAGCAGTGGAAGTTTATATTTTCATCTTCACTTCACGTTTTCACCTTCATGAATGTCCGTCGTCTGTCGTCCGTCCACATTTGTTCGTTAACACTCTAGTGGTCACATTTTTTCCTCGATCATCATCAAACTGTGTCTAGGTAATTGCTCAGATGAGTACAAACATTGGTCATCTCGGATGAAAAACTAGGTCACAGGAGCTAAAAATAAAAAAATCTTGTCAAAACTCTAGTGGCAACTGTTTTGATCCGAATACCCTTGAAATTTGTCTAAAATTTGTTTTGATGACTTCTAGGCCAAGATCGAATATGGGTCATCTGGAGTCAAAAACTAGGTCACATTGCACAAATATGGAAAAACCTTGTTAACTCTCTAGTGGTCACATTTTTTTCACTCAATTGTCGTCAAACTTGGTCAGCATGCTTGTCTAAATAATTGCTCAGACGAGTTCGATGGGTCAGGTGAGCGATATAGGGCCATGTGGGCCCTTTTGTTAAAATAACGCTGTCTTTATATTTATTTCGTTCTACATTTATAAATTGATCTTAACTTAGGCCCTCCATGGCCAATTTGTTAAAGTCGCAGATTTCAAATCACGGCCATTGCCTGTGTGTTTAAATCTTTTGTCAGGGACTAAGGATATTCTTTCAAGTAAGGAAATGAAAAGTTAATCTGCATTTTGTACCTGTAAATGAATAGCATCTCGTGTCTTTATTTATGCCCGACGTCAGTGAGGAAAGATCTACCTATTCAGCCTATTAATGGACAATATTTCCTTTTAACATTGCTGAACAAGTTAATGAAAAATAACAGTAAAATGTATCACATCACATAATTATAATCACGTTTGTTTTGCATACCTTTTATAATAGTATGAAAAGTTGACAACTTTGAACTGTTATAACTGTTACAGCTCGTAGTGGTAAGTGTAGAAACACATGGTTGTTGCTGTTGTTGTTGTTCATTTTAAAAAGCTTAAATTAAAACAATAATTTCTGTTAATCAGAATCAAATGAAAAGCATATCACAACCGTGTTTCGGTAAGGACTTTAGTGCAATGATTCAATGTGTCACATGTAACAGTGTTCTGACTGCGTGTTCCAAATTGACATCACATATGGCGTCCTTATTTCTGACATCTTACCATGTTCGACAATGTCCATTCCAAAAGCCATTTAAAGCCCCCCTTATAAAAATACAATTTTGATGCAGAATATGTCAGTTCTGGTGTCAGAAATTCTTTAACCGTTAGTTAAATATTTCATTGTTAAACACAAGTATTGCTCTGTAGTTAACGATGTAATAATGATGCATGATGTGAAGTTAACGATGCTACTTCAATGTCTTTGCAACTTGATAGTAAAACATGTTTTTTTCTTTATTTCAGAGGATCCCTTACTGTACAATTGCTGTAAACCAGAGAGCATAGAAATCAGACCGCTTATGTCCAGTTTCCACTGGATTCGCCTTAACGAAGCTTACTTGCTCCCGATAGATTTGTTTGTAAAATTATCATTTTAGCATGGTTATAATTATTATAATCAGATGATGGCCATTTTTACACAGTTGTGATAATAAGACAATCGTGTATATGCCAAACAATACAATTTGATGCATTTGTTGGATGACAGAACTTGATCTTCAACAAAAATTAATAAAAACAATATATGTTGAAAGTAATGAAAGTACCTGTGTGGAGTGTAGTCGGAAGTTTTAGTATTGATATAAAATCATACTTGTCACATGTTAACGTAAATTAAATAGAGGATATTCAAGTTTTTTCTATAAATACATGATTTATTTTCATCGAGTGGTATGAAAATAAATATTTCATGAGTGGCGGTAGCCACGAGTGAAATATGGTAATTTTCATGCCACAAGATGAAAATAAATCACGTATTTATAGAAAAAACTTGAATTTTCTGTTTATTATATACATTTTTCTCTTTTTTGACATTAAAATTTGAAAGACTTTTCCTTAAATTTTGTGTACTGGCAGAATTTAAAAGAAAGTAGTCCGACAAGACACCAGTGAAAATACGGAAAATATGTTTCACTGCAATGAAAATAAATTTTACAGTGAAAATACAGAAAATGAAAATACACATTTTATTTCATCAATATTTCTTAATATTTCATTTATAAGTATATAATAAAGCTGTATACAAGTTTATGTCATGATCACTTCTGTAAAATTTTACTCCGACATACAGTAGAATATTGTAAATGTTTTATCGTAAATATTATATTGTGCCGTGAGAAAAAATGTGCAGCTAGGCCGACAGTCGAGCCCAGTACCAGAATACCGTTTTGCAGCACTGCCGACTGAGCTTGATGATCGCTATACACCTTGTCTCTCTACAATAGTTTAGCTTTTGATGATGGAAAGGAGGTAACCTATTTCGTATTCAAGCCTTATTGTGATCATAATTATATTTCCTTATCCACGAAGCTCACATTGAATTAGTCTATAATACATTATTTGTAAATATTTTTCTATGCATCATACTATGTATATAATATAACAGTTTTCTATGCATCATACTATGTATATAATATAACTTGAAATGTGTTCATGTTGTGCTGTTTATTAGTACAGCAATATTTAGTGCTGTAAATTGTCATATTCATTGATGTTTCAAATATGTTCAGCTTTAACTCAGGAAAATTGTTGTATCATAAATTCAGTGTGTGTATTTTAGCAAAATTGTTGTATCATAAATTCAGTGTGTGTATTTTAGCAAAATTGTTGTATCATAAGTTCAGTGTGTATATTTTAGCAACATTGTTGTATCATAAATTCAGTGTGTATATTTTAGCAACATTGTTGTATCATAAATTCAGTGTGTATATTTTAGCAAAATTGTTGTATCATAAATTCAGTGTGTATATTTTAGCAAAATTGTTGTATCATAAATTCAGTGTGTATATTTTAGCAAAATTGTTGTATCATAAATTCAGTGTGTATATTTTAGCAAAATTGTTGTATCATAAGTTCAGTGTGTATATTTTAGCAACATTGTTGTATCATAAATTCAGTGTGTATATTTTAGCAACATTGTTGTATCATAAATTCAGTGTGTATATTTTAGCAAAATTGTTGTATCATAAATTCAGTGTGTATATTTTAGCAAAATTGTTGTATCATAAATTCAGTGTGTATACTTTAGCAAAATTGTTGTATCATAAATTCAGTGTGTATATCTTAGCAACATTGTTGTATCATAAGTTCAGTGTGTGTATCTTAGCAACATTGTTGTATCATAAATTCAGTGTGTGTATTTTAGCAAAATTGTTGTATCATAAATTCAGTGTGTGTATTTTAGCAAAATTGTTGTATCATAAATTCAGTGTGTATATTTTAGCAAAATTGTTGTATCATAAATTCAGTGTGTATATTTTAGCAAAATTGTTGTATCATAAATTCAGTGTGTATACTTTAGCAAAATTGTTGTATCATAAATTCAGTGTGTATATCTTAGCAACATTGTTGTATCATAAGTTCAGTGTGTATGTTTTAGCAACATTGTTGTATCATAAATTCAGTGTGTGTATTTTAGCAAAATTGTTGTATCATAAATTCAGTGTGTATATTTTAGCACTGTTGTATCATAAATTCAGTGTGTGTATTTTAGCAAAATTGTTGTATCATAAATTCAGAGTGTATATTTTTTATTGTAAGATTTGTCTTTATCAGTTGATTAATATGAGTATTTTTCAAAGTTTAATGTTTTAAATGAAAATATTATTGCAACATATCAATTCATGCCACAGCTATCGCTATGTCATTATTGAATAAATTCAGTATGTATGTAATTCTGTTTTACTGGAGTTCAAGTTTTAGGTATGCATTTATAATTCATATTTAGTTATAAAAAGTTTTGTATGTAAGAAGAGCTGTTTGTAAGAATAGCTTTATGTCAATCGACTTTATAGTATACTTTCATTGTTATTGTTAACCATAAAATATGTCTACTCAGTAAAGCAATGGCTAATTTAGATTGAGTCCTCTTTGGATTTTTGCTCTGACTTTAGCAAACACATATAAATTTTTTCAGTTGAAATAACAGAAATTTCATAATTTCATTATTTAATGTATTGATTGATGATATGTTTATATGTCTGTATATTACTTATAACTGTTTGATTTAATTTGTTTAAGTGAATATTTAAATACGTGCTTATAGCAATAAGCTTTTTTTGTGTCATCACTGTTCCAATCTTAATTTACTATTTAATTATGCAAAACAGGTACATTTCTCGTATTTGATATGCTCAAACACTCTGTATAACGTGATCGCAAAAAAAACAAAACAAATATTTATTTTAAGATCACATACGGTTACCTACGTATTGCGTTTTGTTCTATATGGCATATTTCTCGAGCCAAATGTCATTAATTTTAATAAATGATTAAAAATTACACTGCTATGTTGACTATATATGTATTAATTTTTAATAGTCAACTTTTTTACGTGCCTTTTTTCTCGCGCTTCTTTGAAAACAGTCTAAAATTGCTGAGTTTTCTTATGAACTTGTCGCCAATATCAATACGATTTATTTAAAATTCATAATTCAAGTTGCTGAACGGAATATAGCCTTGCTGACATACAAATAACCCTCGACTTGTATATCAAATATTATTTTTTAAATTAGTAGTTCTTTCGATATTCTGAATATAACCCAAAACATGAATTCAATTCAAATGATAACTTCCTTGTAACGAACATTATTGCATGACATGATTCAATAAAATATATATGTCACTGTTTAGACACATTTATTCGATATTTATTCATAATTTATTTATTATAGTCAATAGCAAACAGACTTTATCTATAATTTTAAGTTTATTACAAGACAAGACTTTTCCAATAACTATTTTTAGAGACAGGTAATACATGATAGCCATATACAATATCGGTCAGATTTGTAATTTTGCTCGACCAACGGCCTAGAATCGTGCATTGACCTAATGTAAGTTATATTATATCATTTGCCAGACAATTTAGTATACATCAGGATTTATTATTCAATACATACCAAAGGAAGCTAAATGTGGATTATGTATATTTACCTGATATCATTATCTGTATACACTTGTATTAACTATATCCAGTGATTTTATGTGATTGGTAATCTTATAAGATTATTTTCAAGTAAACATGTTAACACTAACGCAAAACAAAAGCTTTTTTTTCTATTAAACTCTTTTTACAAAATTTCCTTTAACTATGGTATATTGTGGATAAGTAATAGAAAGAGCATCGAAACACGAGGCTATCTGATTTGTACGAGGGATCGTAGCCCCGAGTATTTATCAGATTGCCGAGTGTTTTGATGTTCTTTCTCTTTTATATCATAGTCAAACATAAAAACACGTTCCCTGTTGTCACAATATGAAACCCCGGGACAAAGTAACCAATGAACGAGCATCTGAATATGATATTTCTGTCGCTTTCCCTTTCTCTTCCGTCACAATAAGTAAACCCCAGCAAAAATGAGCCAATCAATGGCCATGCTCTGGAGTGCGGGTAACTTATACCTGCACTCCAGTTAACGCACTGTGCATGTATATGTATACGATTTAACTCTTGACACATTTTCAACAGAAAGGTCCCCAGACTATGCTACAAGCTAAAATATACTACTTAAATCATTTAGGATAACACGCACGCAATGCTTTTTTTTTGGTATTTAAGGGTTTTCGTTTACACCCTTTTTTAAGCAAAACAAAATTGGAAATAATATCAAGATTAATTTACGTGAAAAAATGTTAAAAGGAAAAAACACCATAAAACCCAACCCCATTTACAATTTGTAACGCATCTTTTTTTACTAACACGCAAAAAATAATAAAAATTTAAAATTAGCTTTCAATAAATGGAAGAAACAGGTGATTGTGCACGCAACAAACCATTCACATATATAGTACCGCAATAAATGATGCACTGATTATGTTTACCAATTGTGATAAAATTATACAACAAAGTCTTCTATATGATACGTCTTGTCTGGATGAAGAATATTTGGATATGTTACGAATAGTAACAAAACATGTCCGCGGATAGCGTGCTTCACTTTATTCTGTGCTAGATAGTAAATGAAAGCATCATAGAAAAGGGGTCATAATTCTGAAAACACGCATAGCAGATGAACACACCCTTGAGAGTTAAAAAATATTACAAGTTTGAAGTGATACCTTTGACAGGTTTTCAGCAAAAACGCAAAACGCAATTATGCTATGTCAAAAAGGGAAATAATTAGGCAAAAAGTAAGCTTACATGGTTATCTGTCTCTTACAGTGCTTTTCAAATTTGAAAGTAACCAAATATTCGAAGTTAAAAGTGAATACATTTGATACTTTTTGAGAAATGTTCCTGAGAAAATGAGACAAAATATTAAGTTACCGTAGTCATAGGCTTGTCAATGTGTCAAGTGCTGTGTGTCAGCCGGTAAGTGTTGAGAATTGGGTACACTCAAGTCGGTGCTAGGGGGCGTGAGGAATTTTGCACTTTTTCTTTATCCCTCATGTCCAGACTCAATCAAACCGAGTCTGCAATTTTATGTAATTTTGCTGCATTAATACTTTCGAGCGATCACTTTTTATACGCCCGTTTGAAAAACAGGTCATATTATAGTTTCCCCCCTGGCGGGCGGGCGGCTAGGCGGGCGGCGTCCAATTTTTGTCCATAGCATATCTTCTAAAGGCATTGAGTAATTTTAATGAAACTTCATAGAAATGTTCACCGCTATGAGAAGGAGTGTCGCGCATATGAACCGAGGTCCCTTATGTCAAAGTGCAGGGTCACACTTACACGTCATTATAAAACGGAGCAAAACTTCTACATGCATTGAGGATTTCAATATAACTTGGCAACAAATGTTCACCATGGTTGCTTTTTGGAGTGTCACGGGCAAAATTTAGGTACATGCGGCCAAGGTCAAGGTCACACATAGGGGTCAAATTCTGATAAAAAATGAAAATGGTATTTGGATCCTTTATGTCATCATTTATTAAGGGATTGAAAACACTTAATGGTCATTATCGCATGATACTTTTGTGAATTGTGAAGCTAAGTATTCGCACACATAATCCAGGTTCCTGCTACCAAAGTCAAGGTCACATAGAGAAGTAAGTGTGTGTGCGGGGACCATTTAGTCATTATTTATTGATAGATTGTAACACAAATGATAACTATCATAACTACAAGTGTGACACATTTAATTTAGGTTAATATTTTCAAGGTCAAGGTCACAAGAGATGATAAAAAATCCAGATATTGTCCGGATATTGCCCAGAGAATATCGTCTATATACATATCTATAATGCCCACATCCTTGACAAAAGCTTTTGTGACGGGCGTATTTTGCCACAATGTTGCCCTTGTTTACCATATATTGACCTGAATTGAAAATTTATCAGTACATTAGTTTGAGTTATTGTTTTATCATAACTGACCTTATCTAGTCATTGTGATCTTGCACAAAGCTGTACAACGAATAAATAGCTTCTCTCAAATTCACACTGGAATTGGTTCATAATTGGTAATAAAGTCTTTCATTTATTACGAAATTCATTTGTTTGCATTTATCGTTTGGGTTAGCCATCCTAAAAACTACTAAAATTACGAAATACACATTATATTTTCAGAAAGACTTTTGCAAGACTAGAGCAGGAAAATTTACACATCATCGAAAGGCAAAAATATCGATCTCTTAAAAATTACAACAAATTAATTAATAAGTGAAGTATTTGATCAAATATCAAAATCAGTTAAGAATATAAATGGTCATTTTTTTGGAAACCCATCAGAGCAGGGAGGTGGATGCATTCATTTGCTACGCTCGATTAAAGAAAATTGTGCATTGTACAGTCGAAATGATGAAGAAAATGACCATACCATGGTTTGCCAAATTTATCTTAAATCAGGCAATTATACATGATTGTACCTCGCTAATTTTACTATTGACGAAACATATAACTTTACATCATATACTGATGAAAGAATGAAAAAAATATGTTTATTCATTTATGACCGGATGTGGATTCGTATAACAATTTTAAAATGCAAATGAAGACTATAATCGTGTATGCGGTACGTCACATTGTTAAAATTGCTATTCGGAACACAGCAAATATGAGATTTTCTTGTGCAATCACACTTGAACAGTTTTGGCGTCACAGTGCAGTAGGCCTGGTGTTCAGAAAAAAAAGAATCATCTCATAAAAAATATTAAATTTGTATGAAAACATCCGTTACAATGCGGGAATATACCTTTAAATTAGGACTGTTACTTATAAAAATGATCGTTGTACGGGTAATCCGAAGGCGAAATTTATTCTTCCGATTTCGCCACAATGAGGTTGCAGACTTTATGCTTATAAAATTTATCTTGGTTGTCTGAACCCCAAAATAAGACACTGAGTCGATATGAAACCCATTTTATTAATGAAATGGCGCTATTTCTATTTCTATGAAATTTATTAAATGTACCTTCGAGTTCTTTTTTTCTTCGTCTTTTTTTCAGGTTTAAAAATTCCTGATAAAGGTTTTTTTTCCATGTATATTGCAACAATCAGTTTAAACCCCTTGCTTTAAAAAATAATAAAATGACTAAAAAAAACACTTTTTGTTATTTTTACCCAATTACGTTTTATTGTTTTTTAGGATAAACAAAAACAGACTTTTTGTGACCTTCTGTTTATTATTTCATGAAAAAATACAATTTTTTTATCCAAACTATTTTTAAGAAAGTAATTTAAATTTAAAAGGGAAATGTGTATCTTTTTTAAGTTAATTTTATCAGCATATAAAATAATATTTTTTACAAAAAATTTAAACTAGACTTTCTAGACATTTCCAGTTAAAAAGAGTGTCAGGTCAGCTCAACCAACAGCATAGAATCGTGCACTTTCCTGATGTAAGTAAATCTCTATCAGTTTCCGGAAATTTCCGCATGCATCAGGTTTTGTTACACTATACAGACAAAAGAAAACCATATATGGATTGTGTACATTTACTTAGTATAAATATCTGTCTTTATTTTTTCAAACATTATTTAGAGATAAAAATATGTGA